GCTCACAGCAACCTCTAGCTCTTGGGTTTAGGTGATTCTCTTGCCTCAGCCTCCTGAGTAGCTGAGACTACAGGCGCCCACCACAACACCCAGCTATTTTTTGTTGCAGTTTGGCCAGGGCTGGGTTTGAACCCACCATCATCAGTATATGGGGCCACTGCCCTACTCACTGAGCCACAGGTACCACCATTCTCTCTTATTTCATTCCCGCCACAAATCATCTTTCTTTGAGCACCTGCTAGGGGCTGAGCAGTCTGCTCCTATGGCTCTGCCTGTCTTCCCAAACTAAAAGAGCCCAGCTCCTAAAAACTGCTCAATGTCCCTGCTCACACTCTCTGGAAACATTCAGAACCATGCCCCCTTCTGCCCAGCACATCACAGCAAATATAGAAAGCCCCAGGGAAAAGTTGCCCTAGGAAGCATCACAAGGCACTTTCTGTACATTCTTATTTCAAAAAGCCTTTGTCAGGCACACAGATTACATGCAGTTCTGTGTGAGACCAGGTCTTAGGACAGTGGACAGCTACCGGCCTGAGCAGTGCCAACACCTGCAGTGCTAAGCATGCCCTAAGGCAAAGGCGACCATCTTGTTGGCTTGTGGCACCGTCTGCTGTGGGAAGATGGAGTAGATGCAGACTCCCTGAACCCTCCACAGGACAATTCAGGGACCTGGAGTCACACAGAAGCCCTCGTGGACAATGCAGGGGAGCCCCTGATTCTCTTCTTGCCCCCTGTGCTCCAGATGCTGCCGAGGGCCTGGGACTGGGACTGCCAAGAGGCACATGGCCCAACAAGAGCTGTATTCACTAGGTAGCCCAGAGAGGCAGCCTGGAGGACAGGCAGCTTGTCTAGTCACTGCTCTTCTCCTGCCAAACACCATCCTATCTGGGAATGACGCTCGTAGCCAAGACCCTCCTCCCCGACCAAGCTGGAATGGGGCCATAGCCCTCCCCTGCCACAAAGGGGCAAGACTTTTCCTACAGTCAGAACAGAGTGTGTGGGAGCCAGGACTGCATCCCACCTGTTGCGCCACCAAGCTGCTTCTCCCTGCTCTGGCTTGTCAGAGGAGGCCAGAGCTCATGCAGGGCTCACTGCATTGTCAGTGCTGCCAAAAAAACAACCCATCTTAGCACTCTGGGAGACCAAGGCAGGTGGATTGCTTGAGCTTAGGGGTTCAAGACAAGCCTCATCAAGAGCGAGACCCCCATCTCTACTAAAAATAGAAAAACAAGCTACACATCATGGTGACGGACACCTGTAGTCCCAGCTACTCAGAACGCTGAGGCAGGAGACTCGCTTAAGCCCAAGAATTTGAGGTTGCAGTGAGCTATGACGCCACAGCACTCTACCCAGAGCAACAGAGTGAGACTCTATCTTAAAAAAATAAAAATAAAAAGCCAACCTAGACAGAAGCTTATGTACAAGGTCAAACAGTCAAGTTCTCCTAGAAAAAGTGCTATACACCTCATTGCTGAATGTCCCTGTGGTCACCTTTGAGGTACTCCCCTTGGGAAGCTACACATACACACTGACACCAGCGCCTAGTCCAACCCAAAGCAATTTTGGAACTCTGTTTTCTGGAATGGCCATCAGAGCTGTCATTGTATGAGGCCTGACAATTAAAGTCTTGAATTTATTATAGAAAAATTGCTTTGGCTCAGCGCCTGTAGCACAGTGGTTACAGTGTCAGCCACATACACCAAGGGTGGTGGGTTCAAACCAGGCCAGGACCAGCTAAACAACTGCAACAAAAAAATAGCTGGACATTGTGGCAGCTGCCTATAGTCCCACCTACTTGGGAGGCTAAGGCAAGAGAATCACGTAAGCCCAAGAGTTTGAGGTTGCTGTGAGCTGTGATGCCACGGCACTCTACCAAGGGTGACACAGTGACATTCTGTCTTAAAAAAAAAAAAAATGCTCTGAAGGGTGGACTCAGCACTGGCACTGGTGCATAGCTTCCCAGGAGGAGTACCTCAAAGGAGATTCAGCAGTGAGGTCTGCAGCACTTTTTCTAGGATGAGCTAGTGAACTTAATTGTCTCATAAACCCAGAGTCTCAGTGCAAAAGTGTTGTAGGTTTCAATCAAAAATCACTCATTATAGCAAGAAGACGACCCCCAGCTGAATGAGAAAGACAACCCACATCAGCCAACTGAATAATGTGGGAGATACTGAGATCATCTGGCAAATAGTAGAAGCAGCCTTGACAAAAATGCTTCATTGAAAACACCCAAACACACCCAAAGGAGACAGAGGGTGTAAAGAACCAAGTGGAACCTGCAGAAGTTAAAATGTAGCAACTGAAGTAAAGGCCCTGGGTGTGAGCTCGACAACAGGATGGGGAGAGTGGGAAGAACAGTGAGCTGAGTAACACAGGGCCAACCCTGTGACCCACTGTAGTGACAGGCTAAAGAAGAAAAATCCCATCATCACGTCAACAGAAAAGCATCTGACATCACTCAACAACCATCCATGATAAAAACTTTCAGAAAAATAGGAATAAAGGAGAACTTGATAAAGCCATCTACAAAACCCTGCCACTTACAGCACACTGCTATGAGCTATGATAATGCCATGGCACTCTACTCAGGACAAAAAAAAAGATAAACCTATACAACTCAGAAAAAAATACAGGAGAAAATCATTAGGATGTAGGGCTAAACAAAGAGGTCTTAGACTTGACATGAGAAGAAAAAAATGACACACTGGACCTCATAAAATTAAAAACACTGAGGCCTGGTACAGGGACTCATGCCCATAATTCCAGCTCTCTGGGAGGCTGAGGCAGGAGGATGGCTTGAGGCCAGGAGTTTGAGACCAGCCTGGGCAACATAATGAGATCTTATCTCTAACAAAACATAGAAAAACAATCAGCTGCTGGTGGTACTCGAGAGGCTGAGGCAGGAGGATGGTGACTGCACCACTGCCTGGATGACAAAGTAAGATCTTGTCTCAAAACAAAAGCAAAAAATCCTCTGACTCTGTTAAGAGAAGAAAAAGATAAGCTACAGCTTGGGAGCAAATTTTTGCAAACCACAAGTCCAACAAAAAACTAGTCTCAGGACATATGCAGTGAAGGCCAGAGCAGGCTAGGTGGGCAGAGCAAACAGTTCAGTCAGAACATGGACAGGGGGCATGAGGAGACATTCCAAGAAAGAGGAATAACAGATGCAAATAAGATGTGAAAAGATGTTCAACAATACTGGCCACTAGAGAAATGCAAATTAATACTACAAGCTGTTACCAGATCTGTGAGAATGGCTAAAATAAGAAAACATGGCTCAGTGCCTATAGCTTAGCAGCTAGGGCGCTAGCCACATACATCAGAGCTGGTGGGTTCGAATCCAGCCAAGGCCTGCCAAATGGGCAATGCCTGTGGCTCAAGAGTAGGGCGTCAGCCCCATATGCCAGAGGTGGTGAGGAAAAAAAAA